GACATGGGAGAATTTGCATAAAATTGGCGGCAGAATAATTTCAAATAAACATAAAGTAATTATTTTGAGTCCTGGGATTTATGTTTCTTAAGATTGGCTATTTCGGCAATCTGATTGGCGATTTGCAGAATTAAAAATTTGTGCACTGTCTCTACCTCATCCAGATCCTTCACGAACCACTTACCATTCACCACTCGCATTTTCAGCTATTGCGATATGAAGCTCACGCGAAAACTCAGTCTGGAAAACCCAATTCGAAGTTTCACCAAGGTATGTGCTACCTTTCATCCATGTTTATTTTTATATCGTTTTGATGCTGATTTCTTTCGCTTTAGGTCACATTGGAAAAGAACGTCAGGGCAATATTAATCCCCATACAGATAGATTAAGTGCAAAAGTAAATACCCTGAACCAGATTACGAATTTCGAATTTTCCGTATTTCTCTTCGTACCAATGCTTTGCAATATCTTGATAAATAAATGACTAGTATCTTATCTGGCGTGTAACTATTTTGAGTGTTCAATTGTTATTGTTTAATATTTGTTAAAATTGAGTAATTAGTTAAAGGGACTTCAGTTTGTTATGTATCCCTCTTTGGTCCTCACTATGCCTTCATCTTTCGCCGTTTTCAGGACGACGAGAGAAGAGAGAGAATACATTTGCAGATAAGTAATTACCCTGAAGAGTTGGAGTAGGATGTTGGCGCTAGTGCATACCGTGAGTGCATCGGAAGTCATATATGATGGATATTGTGTGGGATAGGTAGAGTTTTCTGTGGATAGTTCTACTCAGAATGAAGGCATGGTTATGTGGGACACGTTATCGCTTAGTGCGTCATCGCATGCCTGCACTCCAGGATTAGGAGGTGCGACCATACAAACAGTGGCCAACCAGTAGCCTCCTTGGGAGGTGCGACCGTACAAACAGTGACCAATCCTTAACATCTGTTTGTTTAACCTAATCCGCCATCCTGATCATGATTAAGCTCCCTGCGTGTACACTTTGCTAACAAGATACTTACTGAATAAACATGCTCCGCACTGTACGTCTGTTTCCTTCATTGTTGGGTTATAGCTTAGCTTGTTCTGGGAGTCTAGCTAGATGTTGGAGAGTCTGCCACAGATATAAACGCGCTCCGTGCTACACGTCTGTTTTCTTTATAGCTGAGCTATAGCTTAGCTGTTCTCTAGCTAGAGGTTGGAGAATCTGCCATAGAGATTTCTGATTCCTAGCTAGATGTTGGAGAATCTGCCATAGAAATTTCTGAGCCGGTAGCTAGATGTTTGAGAATCTGCCATGGAGATTTCTGAGTCGGTCTAGATGTAGGAGAATCTGCCAAAGAGATTTCTGAGTCAGGAGAGTCTGCCACAGATATTTCTGAGTCAGTCAGGCTTTACTAAGGTGGCAGTCCGCTACAAATTAGTGACCCTGACGTGATTGCCAAAGCCTGACTTCAATCACTCAGCAGAGAAACAATCTCTCACTGGCATCGGGGTTTCCTCTTCCAATTCTTCCCGCTCGAAAGATCAATATCACCTTACTTCTATTTTCTAACTAACACATATTCATCCTGTAGAATGAACACATTCTACCTATGAATGATTAATAACCCTAATAAAATAATAATAATAATAACAACAATACGACGAATACGAAAAAGAATGAAAAAGCATAAAATAATATTTTGGTCATTTCAATTATAGGCAGTGATATGCTATTAGTACAAATTAAATAACGCGGGCGCGCGCACGTTTGCGCTCGAGTAAATTGTCCTAATTGACGATCGATATTATCACGGATTTTTTCACTGCAAACACAAAAACTGCTGCAAATTGTCAATTTCGCCAAATTTTTGCAATGGGCAACTGTGTATCAACCATGCATCGCTTCTTTCGGCTTACTCGACGTAGGCGAGTCAGAAAAGACTCCCCAATGAGGTTAGTTGAACCTGTGGAAGCAGGAAGAGAGACTACAAATAACACACGAGATGAAGAGATACGGCAAGTGACAAATTGAATAGTCTAAGTGACGACGAATGGGAATCTAGTGAAGAAGAAGGAGTTATAAGCGGAGATTGAAGGTAGAGAAGACACCGACAGCGAATGCTCCTCTAACTTGGGAGAATTTCCATCCCTCGAAAGCTTGCGTGAGGAGTATGAAGAGTTGGAGCAGATCGAGAATAGAATAGAACGGGAGAATACGAGTGAGAAGGCAGTGCAGAAGAAAGTAGAAGATGGGATTAAAAGTAGATAATATGAATATGAAGATTGCGAGTGCTCATCTATTTTAAGGAAATTTCTCATGCTTGAAAGACTGTGCGAGGAGGCTGCAGAGGCGAAGCAGAGGAGGAGGGAGAGAAGAGGCCAAGAGAAGTTAGAAATGGAATTTAAGAGGTTTCGAGGTGCCCAGTTGAGCACAATAGAAGAAGATGAAGATGAAGAGGAGGAGGAGAACACCCAGTTGACCATCATAGAGAAGAAGGCAAAGATGTGGCTACCGTAGACAGCGACCACATACAAGGGGAGAAATTAATGTCATTGGAAGGGTTCTCTGTGGAGAATTTTGCAATCTCTCCAACCTTTATGGAGGACATCATGGAGGAGAGCAGAATCTCACAGATTAACTTACAAATAAAAATTTTCTCCCAACACCTGACAAAAGTCTATCTTGTGTCATCCACTGAAGTATTTTGAATTCGTTTTCGATTATTTTTACTACAATTAATGCCTAATAAAGTG